AGCAGACGTTCCTAACTAATCTCACGAACTTAAATATGCTTCTGGCTGATTTAAATTAATTGTGCTAAAATTTGTATCTTGAATTTATCCAAATCATTTGGTAGACAACATATGTATACTTATAATGTATTTTACTTACATTTATAAGCCCGTTTTTGCTTAGTGTCTAAAACTATAAGTATACTTTATCTTAGAGGAGAGAAATCAAAAATGCATTATTTTCATTTTGGCACATGTACATTTAGTCTTACTTGAAAACTTACACAAAATGAAAGAAACACATAATCTGGACAAAGAACAATTGTGGGACTGATTGCCCATAGGTGATTTCCTAGTGATTTGAACTCCTGGAAGAAGATGAAATCCATTATGCCAGACTGGGTTATGAACATCCTGATGACATTTTTCTATACTTGTTTACAAAGAGCTATGTTAATTTTTAAACCACATTGTTTCTCTACTTTTAATTAAGTTAAGATTCATAAGCTGGCTTCATATTCCAGCTGAAAAAGAAATCTGCTGACATCTAGGCTGAAAACACTGTGTGCAACTTGTATTCGATCATTATTAAATCCAGCAGTATTCAATTCACCAAGTAGCAAGGCTCCCCCGTTCTAAAATGGTGATGTGAGACTCTTTCTAGAATATACCACTTTATTCCATCATGCTATCTTTTTCACGCCAAGCAATGGCAATGATCTTAAATTAGATAAAATCTTCAAAGAACTACAGTCTGACCCATTAAAGAGGAGCACAAGTAGCAACACATGCCTTAAGTGGACAGAGATAAATTTTATTACTTATATAATTCATCACATTTGGGAACATTTTTATGCCAAAAGCATAAAACTACCAACAAAATTACAAGTTACAAATATTTATTCTTGCTTTTTTTCAAGGCGGCCCCTAAAATGGTAACTCGATGAGGAAAGGGAAATCATCTACCTTTCCATAGTAATAAGAGAAAAAAGAGCTTTCCACAAAACACAGCGCTTTGTTCCTGCCCTTGATAAGATGCTAACAAGGAACACAAAGATACCATTGTAGGTCAGTGTGGGTGGTTCCTCCAGCCCTTCTATGCACAAAGGTATGCCATCCTCAAACTTAGGAGGCAGAAAGAAACTTCATAGTCTTTGTTGTTTCACACATATGTGTGGAAATGCTTCTTAACATGAAGCCAAATTACATATGTAACAAAACAAACACTATTACTCTGACTCTGCTGAACCATTCATTCACCACCACACCAAATTCATGGAATGGACTCAGAACAAAATTATTGAGTCTCAGGTAAGAACATACAAGAGAACAGGACATAGAAATTATAGAGATTTTAATTAAAAAACAAAGCTCAGAAATCATTCTAGTGATCTGATTTTAATTAAAAAAATAAAGCTCAGAAATCATTCTAGTGATCTGATTTTTCTTAACAGAACCTTATTTTATATCTGTGAGATGCTTATGGAATCAGAATTTTAGCAGCATATTTAATTGCTGTTATCATAACTTAAGAAACTTCTACATGCAAAAGTGAAGCGAGTCAATAATCCCAACTCTACTCTTGACTTCTGTGGTCAAATTGATGAAACAGAAATCATCCGCAGCAGGTTTACATGATGAGTCCACCCCACGTCCCTCCTACCAGGCCTCTCTTCAGGAGATGAACTCCGATCCTAGTTCAATTTAACATAAAAATGCATGGGTAATAACTAAGGCACATTTAAACAATTAGACAAACAGCTTGCTAAACCCTCTGCAGATCACAGATAGTAAATTATACTATTGCTAATCATTTTGCATATCATCAACAGAATCCAATATTTGATTTTTTATATTTTAAGCAATAGAATCCAAAGCTGTTACTTTTGGCTTTAAGATTTACATCCAAAGGGAGATCAAAACTTTATTTGTATGATGGCCACTTACCTACATAATCCTGAATTATATCCCAAATCTTTGAAGTAAATAAAAATAAATTTTAAAAAATTTATATGTAACTTCCATGCCATTGTTTTCTGAGTGAACTTTACCTATGTCTTTAAAACACCATGTCTAAAATATTTAAAGAATGTTCAGAGTAATACAATCCTCAGAGTGAGGTTTTTGTGGTATTTCATGTTGAAGATGTTGAAGAACACTCGTCTTTACAAAAGGATTTAGTAATAAATTCAAATTGAAGATAAGTCCAATGATTCTTCATAAAGACAAAAATAAATCTTGAAGAACTGGATGATTATATAACTTAAAGTAATAATAATCAATTAGTAAAGTGGCCTGTTTTAACAATAGTCTAGTTCATTTTTCAACATTTCTACTTTCAGCTACTAAAAAATAAACAAATGAAAATCTAAAGTCTTAAACTGGTTTTCCCTGGCAATAATAACTCCAAAAGTATTTGCACTGTTTTTTTTATAATGAAAGTCAAGAATAAAAACATAAGCAGATGAATACTACCATACATTGCAGTAAACTGGTCTAATTAGGAATTAGATGTCAAAGCTTTCACTGAATTCCCATTGTCTACTCATCTCACACATGTGAATTTAAACAATGACTTTTCCTTAATTTTATTTACTGAGCTCATCATAAAATAAACTACATTAACATTCACAGTACTCATGAGGAAATGTAAAGTATCAATTTGAAAAAACTCACTGAAAAAATATTGAAAGTAGCTATTTCTGTGTAATTCCTCAGGTTTTAGATTAGTGTGTGAGTCACTTAGACATTCATTCAGAAGACCGTTGAGTTAAAATCACTTCTGTTTGAAAGCAGCAGAATTCTAGAAACTACAGCTACTTGCTCTAAAAGTATCGCTGCGATTTAGTCATATGATGCAAGAACCCTCAGCAGTCTCCTAGGCTCACAGGTGAAGACCATGGTGTGCACTTAAATGGAAACAAGCAGCCTGTCCAAATCAGCAGGCAGGCAGTAGCACTTTCTGGGCATCCTATTTTTACTCCAGTGGATGTGAAGATTCCAAGGAAAACTCACTACAGAGATCAGGGATAGCAGTGACAGGTAGGAACACTGCTGAGAATCAGTTCCAAGAGGAAAGGCTAATAGGGTGCTGAGGGGAAAATATTCTTGACTACAAATGGCCCCTGAGAATAAAAAGTAGCCACAATATTTTAGTTGCCTTATTTTGTATTTGTAAGCAAAGAAAATCTAAATTAATAAGGACACCATACTCAGGCCTTTTACCCAGAACATGATACCTTTGGATTGCTTCTCTTGTTTCGGTCCACTTGCGTTTTTCAGCATTTCTAATTCTCTTAGGGATGAATGTAGTTGAACCACTACATATGAAACAGAAGAGCTCCTGTCCCCAGATAATCAGGCAATCTAGAGGTCTAGGCCACTCCAGAGACTTTACAGATGGAGAGATGGAGGCCCTGCGCAGTTGAGCTAGTTGAATAACTGGTAGATTATGAATTTGAGGCATGAAGTATTAATATGAGGGTATTTATTCTAATATTATACATACATTGCACTGAATATAAAATATGCATAATGCCATATATCACTTACATATCGTATAGTAGTATAAAAACACAATGCACATAAGTAAGTATTTAATGAATAAATAAAGCTATTTCCTACAGATTACCACAGAAAGCAAATGTTCACACAGGTGATTTTCTCATTTGATAACTGACCTATTCCAGTCATCAAAGTAAATTTCTATTCATTTTTATTTAGGCATAAATTAAGACCCTTCTTCACATTTATAGACTCTTGGTGTGGAAAACAATCTTAGAAATCACCAAACTGCCCTTCATATGTGATGTATGAGTTTGGAAAGCAGCAACAATGTTCCATGGCTGTTCCTTATTATTTAATTTCTTGGCCCAGTAGGGGATGTTGCAGCTCACATAAAAAGAAGAAACACTAACGTAAGAAAATGAATGACCTCAATGGCTCCTCTACTAAGGAATCATTCTAGAAAATGAGTCAATTTCCCAGACTTGGAGTTCACTGAACCAGGCAGCAGTGAGACTGGGGCCAGTAAGTTTCCACTTTCCCAATCTACCAGACCCCCAATGACCATGTCAAGACCATCAAGACTATGCTTTATCCATTTTATATTCATCCATTACCAGCATAATCTCCTTTTCCCTCCTGCACTCACCAGACCCATTATTATGCTTGGCACTTGGGGGTGGGTGGGTCATGGGTGGAAGGATGGATGGATGGATGGATAGATGACTGAATAGCTGGATGGATGGATGAATGGATGAAATGAGTAAGTACTTAAAAGTTTTCCTCTTTTGTTCCACTATAATACATAGGTTGCATTCAAATGCCAGGATAAAGTCCTTAGCTCCTTTTCTGGGAAAATATTGTCATCTTTTTCTTATTATAAGTTACTAAATGTCTGTAGATAACCAGTTTCTAGCCATAATAAAAAAACAAAAGATATCATAATTTGGGTAGCATATCTCAGGATCTGTGAATTCAAAGAAAAATGTGTATGTCATGACTTCACTGAGAAAATTAGATTCTTCTAAATTGTATCTTCTACGTGAGTTAGCCCTGTGTGTTACTATCAGAATGAATGGGATTGTGATTACAGTAAGGGCCAGAGTTGTATTGATGTATTATCCTGGAATCCTTTAAAAGTTTACAAAACAGCAACAAAAGATCTGAACTTCAGTTTTGAAAGTATGATTTAGGGAAGTCCTATGATTTACTTGCAAATGAAACGCAGTTCTGAAGTTACAGCCAAAGAGAAGAGAGAACACTAAATGCATCATGTGTTTATGTTGATGCAAATACACCCAGGACCTGTGAGTATACATACTGTAATTTCAACAGCAATTACCTGCCAGTGTCACTCTCACTTAGCGAGGAAGGTGTGTTTCAATTAGTGAGTTCTCGCCAGGACTTCCTATACTTTCTAAGCAGCTCTTTAGAAATTAGGGGGTATAGTGAGGTAGAAAGATTCATTTCCCAGCCCTCACAGAGTTGAGCAATGAAGCGTGGGTTGCACTACTCACGGCTCTGCCTGTAGACTGTTGTCCTCGGCCACATAGTTGGAAGGAATGTAGCCCTGCAGCTGCAGGCTGGGGCCATCTCCCCTCTTCTCCAAGTGTCTGGCCAGCCACCAACCCTCATGGGACGTGTCCAGTACTTGCAGTCTGTCGCCAGCGTGGAAGCTCAGGTCCTCCGTGGTCCGAGCCTGGTAGTCAAACAGAGCCACAACATAGTGGCCATGACTTCTCTCTGGCTGAGAAGCAGTCCTCGTGGCTGCCTGGGACAGGCAAGGGAGATAGGGCTCCAAGTACTTCCGGAGCCTGAGGCAGATGCTGCCCATGGTGCCTGGGTTGGGAGGAGAGGGGGCTTCTCCCTCTCCCCTCGATCTCTGCAGACCCACTTTCTCCTCCTTCACCAGACGGCTTTGAGATCAGCAGCCGCTCACCATGCTTTGGAGCATGGCAAAGTCCTGTATCAGAATAGTCCAGCACACCTGGTTGCAGCCAGCCCTGCCTGGAGAGACTCACCGACTTGCTGTCTGTGGCTGGAGGTGCTGCCCAGAGCCACGCCGAGGGGGAGCCGAGCAGTTGCTTGCTGGCAATGTGGCTTTTCTTCTTGTCCCACGGCAAAAATAAGATAAAAACAAGAGGGCTTTACTTAGACAAACACCTGAGAACAGAAAGGTACCGTCTTGCCTTTTGTTCCAAGAAAGAGTTAGCAAGAGAAAGCTGCTGGCTCCCTGTATGATCTCCACACCTTGCCTCTGCCAGGAGCTTTCACCCTCCTTCAAGTCTGTTCCTGTCCTTCGATCATTCCTGATCCTGAAGGTGCTTTTGTCTCTGCTAATGAATAACCTACTGACCGAGGCTGTTGCCTTTAACATCCTGGGCTTTGTACAAACTGTAATAAGTACTCCTTACTTCCTGGTTTCTTTTGTCTGTGATTTCTTTCCTTTTGACCCCTCCTTTCTTCCTCACCCAAGGCAGACCAGCCCCCTTACTGGGCAGCCAAACTGTTCAAGTAGTCACCAGTATCCATATTCCCTTTGCCTCACCCTGGAGACACAGGCCAGCCTAGGTAGTTTCTTGTCTTGCTATGTTCCCAGCATGGAAATTTATGACAGATAATTTTTTTCCCCCACAAACAGGAGTAGGATTATTTTGCCACTACTCGGGGAAATGAAAAAAAAGGCATGTTAAAGTGTTTAGGTATTTGCTGTCAGACACAGGATGATCAGAAAAGAATCGAGTCTCCCTTTTGTCACTACCAGGAATAGATTTTAATAGCTTCAAAGTATATTCACAGTCTGGAAAAGTAAGAAAGCAGCTGGCTAAAATGCTGAGAACCCAAAACATTGCTTTTTCTCACAGACATTTAGTTTCCCATCCTCCAAGTATTATTTTGGAAACACACACACACACACACACACACACACACACACACACACACACACACACACACACAAAGATCTAGAGAAAAAAAAAAGAGGAGGAAAAGGACTCTGTGTTATGTGGAGTCTCCTTCCTTCTGTTTCACTTGGTCCTCCAGGTGTATACTCACTCTCACTGACTCTTTGTCAGGAGCTCAGGAGCTGATGACTCTGAGATCAAAAAGCAAGCCCAGGACCAGCCAAGGGTTTTACTCCACTCCCCAAGCTCGAGGCAGCTGTCTCACAGACAGGTGCCAGGGTCACAGAGCAACAGGGCAGTGAGCATGGGCGGATCAATGCACTGCCATTTATACGGGTAGAGAACCTCACAAAATTGTTTATGAAGTGTCACTTGTTTCTCTACAAGAACTTTATTCAAGTTTCTCACCTAAATATAATCTTGCTAGGTATTGTCAGAGCTTTGAATGCAGCTAACCTAGCTCTAATAATCTACCCCCTAGAACTCAAAACTCCTGTTCTTTGTCAAACTGCACAGCATTTTTAGTAATCAGAATAATTCAAAAAAAGGGGGGGAAACTCAAAAAAAGGGGGGGGAAATAAAGAAAGCCAGAGAACCATGGCACTAGCTCCCCCTGCTATTAACTTGTGCAAACATCAGGCGCCAACAAGGGACAGATCATCTGGTGAAAACAGGGGCTTGAGCCATGCCTCCAGGGCTCTCCAGCTATCTGGGGCCAGAGTAGAAGTAATAATTTGCCGGGAATAGAAAAGCCAGAGGCTGAGCCAAGGTTTTCTTGTCATTGTTTAGTGTTTTAATGATATGGGAATATCTACATAATTTGATGTTATATACAAAAGAGAAAATGCGTAATATGGAGAGACCATAAAGAATATCTTGTTCCATGCCAGGCATGATGGCTCACGCCTATAATCCCAGCACTTTGGGATGCCAAGGAGGGAGGATTGCATGAGTCCAGGATTTTGAGACCAGCCTAGGCAACATAGCAAGACCTCATGTCTACAAAAAAAATCAAAAAATTAACCAGGCATGGTGGTGCATGCCTGTAGTCCCAGCTACGCAGGAAGTTGAGGCAGAAGGTTTACCTAAGCCCAGGAGGTCAAGGCTGTGGTGAGCCATGATAGTGTCACTGCACTCCAGCCTGGACAACAGAGTGAGACTCTGGGAAAAAAAAGGAAAAAAATATTTTGTTCCAAACACAATATTAATTGTAAAAGTGTAGGATTCCATTAATGACCTAAACAGAGGCACAGATGTTAGGGTCTTTCCTGAGACAGCTGCATGATTTAGAAACAAAAAAAGATTTGGAAGCAACTAGAAAGACATACTGAAACTCAACTTGCAGATGGGGCTTGAAGGTTCTAAATTCAAATATGTCTTTACTATAATTATGACAAGGCATTCTAGAAAAAGACAAAGCAGCAGACCTGTACAGCACAGTCCCTGAGCAAATGAATGAAGTTCAAAACACAACCAGCCACCAAAGATGTCAGGGGAGCAACAGCCCAAGGAGGAGATCCAATGGGTGGGAAAGAAAGGGCTTCCCTGTGTTGATGGTACCAGAATGTTCCCTCCTATGCTAGAAGCCTCGAGGCCATCTTTCACTCGCTTCCTGGTTCCTTTGAGCTAATCAGTCATCAAATTCTGCTCAGTCTTCCTTTTCATTTGCTCCACAGACTTTTTTCTTAACTCCTTCTGAGTGACAGGTGGGCATGCAGCAGAAAGAGTATATTCTCTTCTAGATAATTTTGGCCTCCCTTCCTCCTGCTTGTCCCTCTCTTGTACACCAAGATGAGTGGTGTTTGTCGTCATTTATGAGGCAGTTTTCACAATAGTGACGTGATGTGAGTACTGGTAAGAGTAGCTGTCTATGTTGGAAGGCTTACTATGTGCCAGGCACCAGGCTGAAGAAGCTAGAAATGAGATCTCAATTCCACTCTTGGATGTCTATCCAAAGGCTTGGAGATTAGAGATGTCTGCACAGCATCCATCCAAGAGATGTATTCACAACAGCCAAGTTATGGAATCAGTCCAAGTGTCCACCAGTGAATGATCGGCTAAGGAAAATGTGTGTATGTGTGTTGGGAGCCGGCCACGGAAGCCCACTGAGTGTTAGGGATCAGGAAGGGCCGTTGACCCTGAGACCACTAGGATGCGTTTGGGAGCTATTGACCCCATTTCCTCCCCCTTTCTACTCAGCACTAACCAGATTAAGCTCCTGTGAGCTCAAAACATAGAAACTCTGAGATCAGGACGAACACAAGCTAACTTTAGAAGCTCATTGCTCCCATTCTTCCACAAACTGAAGTTTTGGCTTTCACACAACTTATAATTCAAACTCGTGTCACATCTAAGAGCCTTAGTATTGGTCACAGGCTTCTGGGTCATGATCTTAGGATTTATTGAAGGTGTAAATTGTAGAATATAGTTTTAGAAGACAGCCATTTTGTTGAAAGAATGCGGCTGGGTTACTTGCAGGTAGCCCACTGTGAACTTTGGACTGGGCAACATTCCAAACATTCTGGGATGGGCCATTTTCGTTTGTAAAGAAAATACTTAAGCTTCTATTCCATTCCACTGCATTCCCTTCCATTCCATTTTTCTCTGCTCCTTTCCTTTCCTTTCCACTCAATTCTATTTTTCTCCATTCCATTCCTCTCCATTCCATTTCTTTTGAAACCATTCCTCTCAATTGCATTTCATTCCTCTGCATTACATTCCGATCCTCTCCATTCTAATCAATTCCATTCCTTTCTTTTCCATTCCTCTCCATTCCATTTCTCTCCATTCTATTTCATTCAATTCCATTTTACTTCTTTCCATTCCTCTCCATTTCATTCCTCTCAATTACGTTCTATTCCATTCCATTTCATTTCTTTTCATTCCATTCCATTCCACTCCATTCCATTCTATGGCTCTCCAATCCATTCCTCTCCATTCCGTTCCAATTCATTGAATTGACTTCCTTTCCATTACTATCCATTCTATTCTATTACATGCCATTCTTTTGACCCTCATTACATTCCTTTACTCTCTGTTCCATTTATCTCCATTTCATTCTTCTCCTATTCATTCCCTTCCAATTCTTTCCATTACAATGCTATCCCTTTCATTTTCTTCCATTCCATTACTTTCCTCTAGTTTCCATTCCTCTCAGTTTCACTCTATTCTTTTCCAATACATTTATATATATTCCATTCCAGTGCCCTCGAATCCATA